GGTACACAGTTAATGTGTGTGTGTGTGTGTAGTGCCAATAGATAGTAACAAGTTTTCACTCAATCATCCTGATCGAAATAGTGGAGACAGGGTATCTATGGAGAAGTAAATGGATTGAATGGAGCGTGATCTAGAAGTGTGAAAGGGCTACTAAGCATGACTCTTCCTCGGTAAAAACACCAAACAATAAACAGGGTTAGTTTGTTATCTGTTCCGCGCCGGTAATGTTAATGCCGCTGAGTAATGCTCTCCTCTCTTCCTTCTCCCTATACACACAACACAATCCTTTCCTCAAAAGCCTCGCCCTTGACTAGCCCTTAACTAGCCCTAAACAGTCCTACGACCAGCGTCCATCCGTGTGGAATTGCGTATGCAAGCACTACCGCCAAGCAAACTATTTAACAACCATACGTAGGCTTTCTGTTCCTGAGCGGGAGATGTCCGTCTGTCAACACACGACGGAAGTCATCCATGGGCCAAGCCACGGCAAGAAATAAGGTAAATCAAACGAACCGTGGGAAGTTGTCAGCTACGATGGGATGATGCCAAAAGAAACGGATTGGAGGGAAAAGAGGGCTGGATGGACTATTATTAACTTTTTTTTTTTTGTCTTCTTTTGTGGTTGAGTTGTTAGCTTTTTCTGGTGGTGGTGGCCGAGGGCATACGTAAGTGAAGCCCCACTCCGAGGATGAGGCGCCAGCCAGTGGCGTCTATTGCTGCGAAGTTGTGGTTTTTCTTTTCTTCTTGAGGAGAGATGGCTGTTTTATGGTGTCAATAAATTCTGACGATCATGTTTCCTCTCTACGGTTGGTGTTGAAATGCTTTTCTCGATCGGCACTCTCTCGGTCGGACCACCATCAAAGAACTAAAGATAATACACGTGGAGGGGAGGGATCGATCAATCTTCTGGACAGAGAGAGAAAGGAGTTGCGCTGCTAAGCCAACGCTAGTCGATGCTTAACTCCGCCCGGCGCCAATTCTTGCGTCTTCATCTCTCCACTCCCAGGCGGTTTTATTTCTCTGCCTAGACTAAAGTCTATGTTGCTCGGATCCCGGCATCCAGTCACACACTCTCTACCTCTCTATCAATCAAATCTGGGAGGCAATTTCTTTTCTTTTTTTTCTGCACTCCCATTGTGCTTGTCACATTTGTGATCTAACAAATGGTGTCCAGCAGTATTTCCGTAGTACACAGTATATGCTTCTGACCCACAGCCTAGAACCACTATGGTGGCGTTCAGGATTAAACTTCCTCAAATACAACAAACAGGTACCGGAATGCTACCATTCGTCCGAGCAACCACCCCCCAGACCACATGGCGCCCTCCCAGCTGACGGTCCAGTCTTCCAGTCTTGCTGCCCGTCCGCTTCGGTTTCTTGCTGCACCACGGGTTGACGACGCAAGGGGGCCGGATTACGTGGGGAGCAGAGACAGAGGATTGGATGAATGGGATGGAGGGGATGGATAGGATGGGATGGCATGCCAGAGCCGTACCTGGATGGTGGAGCACCCCCATCAACAGAATAAGAAAAAATAGGTAAAAAAACAATAACAACATTGGCTGGCGGAATCTACAAAAAGCCCCATCCGCCAACGGAGTGTCCATCGCGCCGCATTCGACGCATCCTCGTTCGCTCGCCATGGCTGTCTTGCGTTTCAGACCATCGCCGCCCTCCGTTTCACTGCCCTAAACGGGGCTATTGACCTTCGGCTTCTCTCTCTTTTAGTTGGCCCAGTCCAGGCGCACAAGTGCTGGCACTAGTCCAGTACACTCGTCAATTTTTCCACCATGGCGGCGCCTGCCTTGGCCCAATGCTGACGATTCCTTTTGCGCTGCCTGTCTCCACTTCCTCTTGATCGAGGCCTCCATCAAACCCACCATCTCCCCAGAGAGAGAAACGACAGTCAGCCTAGAAGGGGGGCCGATTAGGGCGCAGTCCGTCTATATACCTACCCAAGTCGCCCCGGTTCTATTGCAGCCCCTCCCCGTTTTTATACCCTTCATAGCACACTCCTTATTGCTGTTGCTTTGCAGTATTCAGTCACTCCTTTTTGGACCCTGGTTATAGCGGTGTTAGAAAGACACACCGTAAATACCCATCCAACTCCTTCATTTCGGGGACCGACCACTCTTCTCCCCCTTATCCAGCGGATACAGATTTCACTGATTGACTCACTGGTCTGAACCCTAACATTTCTCCACCATGCAGTGGAAGTCACTCCTTCTGTGTGCCGCCATCGCCGAATCGGCCCTGGCTCGCACTCACGGCCACCAGCGCCGTCAACACGGTCACGGCCACGCCCAGGAGGCTCATGTGGCCGCCCGTGACGTCGAAGTTGAGGTGCACACCGTCGTCAACATCGAGCACGTCACCCTCACCACCACCGTCTACGGCCAGCCCACTGAAGCTGCCGAGGCCGCTACTACCAGCAGCACCATTACTGAAGCAGCAGCCACCACCACCGACGCCGCCACCGCCGGAGCCTTTGTGGAAGTCGACTTGGACGAGGACCTCGCCATCAGCGCCAGCCTGGGACTCTCCCTCTCCCTGGGCCTGGGCTTGGGCGACGACCAAACCAGCACCACCACCCGCACCAGCACTTACACCAATACCAAGACCCACACCGCCGCCTCCCAGACAGCTGCTAGCACCACCGCCAGCAGCACCGGCAGCTCTGCCAGCGAGGCCTGGACCGCGACCCCCACCAACGGCGTCTATTCGACCGCCGGATTCGGCGAGCGCACCAACAGCAGCAGTAGCGGCGTCACCTACAGCGGCAACGTGGGCAACCCCTGGGGCAGCAACATCCAGGAAGTCAGCGCCAGCGAGGCCTGGCAATACAAGTACGTCATCCGCATGGAAGGTAGCAACACCAAGGACTGGTTCGTCAGCTTCTGGAACAAGATCGGACCGGATGGAAAGATGGATGGATGGTACGGACACTCTGCGTTGAACTTCACTCTCGGCGCGGGCGAGACCAAGTACGTTGCCTTCGACGAGAACAGCCAGGGTGGATGGGGTGCCGCCGAGGGCGACAGTCTCCCTACTGATGACTATGGTGGTTACTCTTGCACCTGGGGCGAGTTCGACTTCGGAGATACCGATAACAGCGGCTGGTCTGGTTGGGATGTGTCTGCTATTCAGGCTCAGAATGCCGACCAGACGGTCCAGGGTATGCGTATTTGCCAGTACTCTGATAAGCAGTGCTCGTATATCACTACTGACGCCGAGACGGTGGTGAATGCGTACACTGCCTCGGAAGCGTCGGTGGATGGTATTGGTGGCACTTTGTCGTCGGGTGCGGTGCGCTTGACGGTTGAGGTGGATTATAGCTAGATGTGATGTTCTTTCTCTTCGGTTGTTGGATGTCGATGTGGATGTAGATACCTCTTGACTTTCTTGTCTGTTTTGTTTCCATCTTTGTTGATACTGTTGTATATATACATCGGATCATGGTGGATTCGTGGAAATATACATAGTTTTACCGATTCACTATATAGTATGGTATCATTATTGTGTGTATGAAAGTAGTGGCACATGTAAGTAGGCGTAAGAATAAACAAGAAATTGTGGCTGTCAATAGTCTATATACCCTTCTGTGATTTCGATCATCGGGATGTCTCACATTGAAACCGGGGATTGGGGGACGCTGATCCGATCGCGGTGGAGTGGAGCAACCAACGGTCTAAGTAAAGATCCTGTTTGGATGCGAGGAGAGAACAGTTGTTGATCGAGGATCGGCCGGCGGTGAGACTCGCTGCAGGCGATGCTCGGAAGGCTCGGATCGCTGCCGCTGTGCCACAGGATTGATAGATTCATGGCTACATTGAGCACTTCTCGGTGGAAATATTTTCATATGGTCAATTGGAGTGAGTGTTTATTACCTTGACAGTACTATGGGGATTTATGAACTGTCCCTTACACTACTTACTAGAATATTTGAATCCACACAGAAGTCGTGCTACCTTGATGTGAAATTACAATTTGCAGTGCAGGGGAAGATACAATATATATTAGTACCACATACACTAACCTCGAAACCAATCGTGACACAATTACTTAGGAGTAGGAACTATGTGACCTGAACAGAATATGTATCATACTACCGCTCAAGAGCGGAATGGTTTGATAAATATGACTCTACTATTATATAAGTGTACATCATGAGGGTTATGTTCGATGAGTGAACGAAAGCAAGTATTCTGCTGCTAAAAGAATAATTGATTTATTTAGTTAATTTAAAGGCCTTCTCAACAACCGGGTCCCATAGCTCAGTTGGTTAGAGCGTGACGCTAATAACGTCAAAGTCGAGGGTTCGAGCCCCTCTGGGACCATCTTTTTACAAATTTTTATTGTTGATTTGCTTGCAGCTCTCCCGCCCCGCAGAGATAAGAAGGCTGCAACTATCCAAATTATCAACCCCACTTTAGGAAATCGTAGAAGCAGGACATACAAGTCAACACGACTCTACCAGCAGGAAAACATGGTCCTGGTGTATTTCCACCAAGAGCTTATGATACTGAGACTGCTACTGTACAACGAATGACAAATCTGGGAGCATAGCCGTCTCATCGACCAGTCACCGAAACACAATCGCATCGATACTTTCCACCATTCCCTTGCCAACCAACACTTCCCCATCCTTAGGAGATCATCTCTCACACAGAAGCTTGTACTATATTTCCAAGTCTGCTCATGTCGAACCACGTAGACAATGTCTCGTGGTCTCGAGGCCGTTCCCGGCCAGTTGGTCGTACAAAGGCCCAACTACTCGTCATCGGAGCCCGTCTATGATTAGCTCCCCCTCCACCACTACAGGATCAGCGAAAAATAGCAAGCGTGGCTCAGGTTTCGCTATCCCGTAGTGGTGTGGGGGGGAGGCAATCATACCAGGGGTCTGGTACTGATACAGAAGGGCCTCTGTACGACCCATTAGTAAGTAACTAGCTTCCAGATCACGTCACTTTTCATAGGTAGTTCACGCAAAGTCATGGAGCTCAAGCGGGCCCGTCAAGGCCCATAGCAGCCAAGACAGGCCGCACAGCGTCAATCGAGTTACTATCCATATAGACAGCTCCGATGAGAGCCTCGACGGTGTTGGCCATCACTTTGTCGGATACAATGCCTGCCTGGGATGGATTGACAATGACCAGTTTGTCGAGACCCATTCTACGCCCAACCAGTGCAAGGTTGACGTTGCTGGCTTTGGTTTGCAGAATCTTACTTGTAAATTCTGATGTAAAGGATGAGCATACTTTTCTGGGCAAAGAGGAGAGAAGAGGCTTACCTCTGCTTCTTTTGGCTTCGTATCCATCCAAAGTAAGTGCCAACTTGAGAACGGCATCTCCAACATGGGCAAGCTCCTTGTGGCCATCCATGCGGGTTGGCAGCCCGGGCAGGGCAACCCCGGGAGTGACTAACGCCCCCATTCCAATATTCGGGTTATCGAAGGTGTACCCAAGCGTGACTTGGGCGGTTTGGACTTTGTCCGCGAGAGACGGCATGGTGCCGGAGTTGAGTGACTTACTGGAGTTGAGGATGCCTTTGAGTGAGTTTTAGAACTGATCTTGGATGGCCGAAAAAGGATTGTAACGGTAGCCAAGTTCGTAAGGGATGGGGTGGGGAACAGAAAACAAATGCGAGGAGGATGGCCCTTATAACTCCTCCCCGGGGGCTGAGGAGAGGGGTTACCATGTGATGTGCTGCATGTGCTGCGCCAACTAGCCTTGCATTCGTTGGTCAGCTTGCATTGGGTATCTTTAACCCTATCATAGTACAACTGGACCAGCTTTTTTACAAGGAATGCAGAGTGAACTTGTCTTTCAACTGCTCGAAATGCAAACACATACCTCTTTACAGTAGTGTTACGAAACCATGACCCTATATCATGGAAAAGGTATGAGATTTATCCTGAATTGTTTTGAGGTCGACCGTCCGTACTCCCGCAAGTCAAGCGTCTCAGCCTCGCGGGTTAGCCTACCCCATCGGTCCCGCATAGGCTGAGTTCATGTTGTGCCTAGCAGCACCCCCACTCGAATAGTCTGCCTTGGAGCATGTATTGTAACCCAATCAAATCCTAGATCAACGACACAGTTGAAAAGACCGTGCACCAGCTATTGGCGGCTAGAGCCCGTACTCTCTAATGATAACCGTTATCTCCCAATTGCATCAGATAGGCTTTTACAGTTTAGCAAAGATTCCAGATGTCCTTCAATCCTCGCAAGATAGTCGAATTGTGTCGGCAGAGCTGAAATCGTTGTTGGTATATGAGCAGGACTGCTTGTCAATCCTGATAAGTATTATCCGGTTTCCTCTACACCCATGTTAATGCCGCCTACAACGCAGCCTTGCGAACCAAGAGGTCAGTGCACCACGACATCCGCGGTCTCTGAAAGCAGAGTTCCAAGGAGATGACCCCTTGCACAAAACGCACCAATAGCATAAGCTGTCTCCATACAGCGTATACTGGACCCTCCTCGGATGGAGCCACATCATGCGTCATTCTCGCTCCTCTTCGTTCATCTACTCAGCTACTCAAGCAGAGCTACCTGAGCGATTGATTGGGGTTGCTCTCAAGGATATTCAAGCGCTGTTTGGATCGTGGTAAATGGCAAGTCGTTCCCTTCCAACCAAGATAAGAGCTAGGCTTGGAGGCTTTTAGCAGCAGCGAAGGAAATTAGCGAGTATCGATACGAGGAAGTAATTGCCATTCGAGCACAGTGACGCCATTGATAAAGCGATTAATTCAAAAGGGTGAGAGTGGGGAATATACGGAGACGAGACTGGTTTTGAAAGTTGGAATTTCAAAGTTGTGATTTTACTAGAATAGCATGATGAAAATGTGCTTTTCCGAATAACCATTGAGCTACCACCCATCAAAATGATGCGCTTACTGCCCACAGAAGTCAACTAGCACAGACACGAAAATGCCAGACACCGTACACCATATCTCTGACAATAGGCTTAACATTATGACAATAGACCACAAGTTATGCAGAGGACACGGAGGAACCGCAACTGCCCTCTCATAGGGCTTACCTCAAATTCCAGTATCCAATGGAAATTATTACCCCATTAAGCTACTCTTTGACGGCATCTTGTTTTCCGGATGGCAAAAAAGAACGGATCTTACTGAAAAGCCCGCGTTTCAGTTTCGAAGATTGCTCGTTGCCTTGAAGTGTCGAAGCGCCGGAAAAGGTACTCTCCGAGTCGCCCCTAGGTTGATTTTTCGCCTCATCTTTAGCAAGTTCGTCTATGAATGTGGGAATATCGCGCGCACCAGAAGGGTTCATGCGCATGGACGGTACTCGATTTGTGGGAGACATGGTGATTAGATAAGGTCGTTTGAATGACGAAAAAAGTCAAATTGCCCTTTGTTTTAGACTCTAGCTGGAGAGTGGGCTCGTAGAAGATTTGAGAGCGTTGGATGAAGCAATGCTGGATAGAAAAAATCAATTGCGCGAGATGAAGGAGTTTATATGTATTGCGAACGTAGATATTTGGAATCAAATTCTTCTTTGTAGGAGATGGAGAGTGAGACTGTAGAATTTGTATGGAACCGTCGTGATGAAGCGATGCTGAATGGAGAAGACAATTGCTCGAGACGAGGTGGCTTATATACTTCAAATGTGGCTGATATATTGAAGTGAGGTATATATGCTACAAGGCAACAATATTGGTTGCCAAAGGAAGCGACATTCCGGTAGACAAACATGTGATGGAGAAGACATAGAAGAGCAAATAAGCCCTTTCTTGCGTTGTAGATTGCCCTCAAGTGGAGTGATGGAGGAGTATCAGCCAATGATGCGAAGGCAACTAATGTGCAGCCTCACAGGAAGGAGACTAACGCAGCATCCTGATCATGCGTTTCGGATAACGTTGACAGGTTAAACACTGGGTATCTATAAATTGAATGACGGCATAGACACCCTAGCCGGCAGGCTATAGCCTAATTGTGACTCAGGAGAGGCTCGCTGTTGATCTAATGCATGATGTGGCTTAACACCTAGACCCAAGAACTGCCGATCTTTAGTACGACAATTGCACTCTGCAAGGGAAATGTAGTTCTCATAACATAGGAATGAAGACAACATTCATCTTTGGTGTTTTCACCATTCAATCTCCACGAAAAGATAAGTTCAGTGTTCGAATTGAAATCAAATCCCAAGTAAGGACTTGCCCGCTATAGGCGGTTGACATTGGGTTAAATGTATTGCGTCATACATGAGTTGCAAAATGGGAAATAAGCTGGAAGAATCATTGTGTGACTCACAGAGTAGCCTTCTAGATGCTAGGGCCTGGACTCTGCACATATTTGGCAGCCCAAGCGACAGTGGAAGGGGCTATGCACGCAGCGGCTAATTGACGTTCAACTGTCGTTGATTAGGGCGGCCTTAAATCGCGCTACCTTATCTATCCAATCAGCAACCACGCCTACCATGGCATTCTAGACGACATGGCCAATTGGACACAACGGATCTCTACTGATAGTCACATGGCTATTGACGAGGCGACTACTTACAGTATGACTCAACGACACCTACATGCCTGACTGACATGAGTAGGCCGCTACTAGCCTGAGAGGCTCAGGCGCATGGCGTGTTATGCCTAGATGGCGACATTTATACCTACCCAACATTCCCCCTTACCATAGGCACGTTATTATCTGTTTAGAGGTTCGAAGCAGGCAAAGTTCACGATCTTAATAACTCGGCGAGATGATTATAGCAGAATCGGCTATTTTATCCTTCAGTTCATCCGCTCTCATTGTTCAAACAACACTTTGCGAGCACAAAGTTTGGAGTACCCAACTTACCATTGGCACATATATCCGCCAATAGAACAAAACTACGACATCAGCTTGGCATCGAGCTTAGCACTCGGAGATATCCGAGCTGTTCCTATGCCAAAGGGGCTCAGTGGCGCAATAGCTTCCAGTCTGGACCATCCCTTACGGTGCTAAAAATCCCCCGGCCAATCAGACCCACCGGGTACCTGATCACGATGGCTACCAAGGTAAAATGTGCCGATCGGGTTCGTGAGTTTCCTTGATGGCTACACGCTAATGTCGCATTAATTTCCGCAATACGAGTGGCAAAGCGGCGTTATGTGGTCGAGATTTTCAACTAGTGTGGATAGTGTGTGGGGAGGCACTGACTCGAGACGTAGAGAGGGGTTGGGTCAGCTGTCTACACAATCTGGTGAAAGAGTAAAGACTAATTTCTACTGAGAACAATCAAGAGAGTATTCCAACAGAGAACTGGATTCTGAAAGCAGTAGAATCTGACGAGTTATTATTTATGGTACAATTCCTTCTACATTTGCTACAACCTTATCCCTGTACGCCCACAACACGACCACAATTTCCGTTAGACATCTGGATGGTAGTCGAAGTGTCATGAGTAGACGCCCTGGCGTAAACAGAAGACTGCGAGCAGGTTGTCGTGTGAATGAGATAGCAGTATTTGATGGAGGAAGAAACCGCGTTGTAGTAGGACATGGCGCAGGTGGAGCTCTCCATGCAGCTGACGCAGCAATCATATGCAGAACTGGTGTCGCCAACAGTCAAGCTTTCACCGGGGACGTTGGTGAAGGAAATCAGGTACATGTATTGGCCCGTGAAAGAGCCGAATTCTGAGGAAAGAGGGTCGCCAGCGATGTTGCTAGACCCGCACGCCTCGTAAAAGGTGGCAGTGGCCACTGCAGCCACTGCGGTGGTAGTTGAGAACACAGTGGTTGTTTCGGCAGCTGCGGATGTGGTTTCAATGATGGTAGAAGTGGTACTGTAGCTGAGTGTAGTCGAAACATCGGAAGGAACCACAATCGAAGTACTGGTGATGGTGTTGGTCACAGTAACGGTGGAGATAGGAGTGACTGCGGTAGCAGTCGCGGGGGGTTCGGTGACCGTGGAGACGGTTGTGGTGTTGACAATGATCTTCTGGTGGCACTCGACCTCTTGAGGGTACTCATACTCGTCCAACCAAGAAGAACAATCGTCCTGCTCGATCAAGGAGCGCTTGGCAGCAGTAGCTGTAGGCAGTGTCTCCGCAATCGGAGAGAAGCCCGAAGAGCTAGCTACTGTGGACGTGCTGGTGCTCGTCGTCGATACGGTGATAGGTACAATGGCAGTGACAGCAGCGGGAGTGATAGTCACTGTTGCAGTGTCATACTCAGTTGAGGTCGTCCAGAAAATATCAGTGACCGTGTCAGCCGTTGAAACGGCCGTAGTTGTCTCATAGTCTGTGACGGTCACAGTGGAGGCGTCAGGGGTCACAGTGACGGTGTCTTGCGTCGTCGAAAAGACAACCACCGGTGTCGGGTCATGAATAGTGCGCGTAATGGTAGTGGTAGGAACTAGTGCCAACGAGCTTGTTCCCAGCTGCGTACGGCACGACACCGAGGGCACATAGGCCTGACTGCTTGCCACCAGGGAGCTGGCCGCTGGGGTGATAGCTGCGGCCTGACCGAGCAGAAAGCCCGCTGCGACGACGAATCCGTGGATTGGCATTTTCACGGGTTGATAGAATATAAGTTCAAAAGTGTATAGCAGTTACTCAAAATCTCTGGTAGGTTCGGAGTGCCTCGCAATAAGTACTCCGTCCTTGAATCTGGGTGGGAATTGGGGTCGGCTATTTTCGCCGCCGTTGACAGACCCACGATCCAGTGGGCGTCAATAGTGCAGCTGAATACGAAGGCTGAGACAGGAACCAGGTATTAGCTCCGTCGGGTGTGTATTCCCTATGTGTAGTCTCTTTGTCAATTCTCCGACCGAAATAGTATATACAGTGACCCGCCTCTTGCGAGAGAGAATCAGGGCTCGGTTTCTCACACTCTCTTTTGACAGTCAATTCTCGGAATCCAACTGCAAGTCATTCATTTATGTCTCATAATACCTGATTAATACTGATTTTTTCAATCCTACTTTCGTCAAAATTTCCTCGTTAAGTACTGCTGAACTGAGTCAATCGCTGTCATGACGGGTCACCTGCTGATGCGAGGATGGATCCTCGCCTCGTTATTGCTACAAACCAGCGTCGCCATGACAGTGGCCGTTGAGCCAGCAGCTGTGACTTCTACCACTACATCATCTGCTACCGCACATAGGCAGCATCACTGGTCCTATAGCTCAAGGTCCTTGCCCATCCGCAGGCCTTGCACACCGAGTTATTCATCTTCTGTTCCTCCTTCTAAGGCAGCAACACCCACCCCATCAATCATCGTGGTGCCCTCGTCGAGTCCTATCCCCTCACCCTCTACTCCGTCAGTGAGGGAGTCGCCAACTCCCAGCTCAAGTCCGGTACCAAGTCGCTCGGCGGCTTCCCACCCGCATTGGAGCTATGTATCCCGGCCTTTGCCTCAGCGAAGCCAGTGCTCGGCGTCTTCCGGAGCTATCCCGAGCTCTTCACTCCCTGTTTCCATATACTCCGAGAGCACATCCAACGCAGTCACTGCCCCAACTACTGTTCGGACCGGACTTCCCCAGATGAGTCTTTCCACGTCCTTGTCGGCTGCAACAGTCACCGACTCTTCCATGCTGCAGTGGACCACATCGGCAGTTCTCTCTACACGTACGGCCACAATTACTGCATGCCCATCCACACTCCTGGAATGTCCTGCTCTCTCCAGAACCACCTCTGTGACCACGGAGACCATTGTGGTATCTACCACGATATGTCCAGTCGCCGAGGCCGCTGGGATGACTCGGACAGATTCTGTCTCGCCCACAGTAACGGACAGTGCTGCCAACAAGGGTTATGGTAGTGGTGGATTGGACTTCACAACCTCCACGGTTTTCAGCACTCGCACTGCCACGGTAACTGCGTGCCCTTCCTCGGTAACGAACTGCCCGCTCAGGTCGAAAACAACCTATGTGACTACCGAGACCTTGGTGGTCTCTACCACTGTGTGCCCCGTAGCTGACAGCACTGGTAGCAGTGGCGCCATGACTACCGAGACCGCACATCCTCCTTCGGCTACTGTGGCGGTTGGTAAGAGCGGAGGTAGCATGGGTAATTCTGACAGTACCACTTCGACGATATTGAGCACTCGTATCATTACCGTGACTGCATGCCCTTCTTCTGTGACGAATTGTCCCTTGAGATCAAAGACGACTTATGCGAGCACGGAGACGTTCGTTGTTGGCACAACTGTGTACTCGGTCCCCAAGATCACAAGCACCAAGGCGAACGGTTATCTGCCATCCGCCACAGGAGTATCCGAGGTCGGACCATCGCTCATCACTTCTACTATACTGAGCACCCGCATTGCAACAGTCGCGGGCTGCACTGAAGACAACTGCAGTGGCTCTCCACCCGGAGGTGGTTATGTCACGTCGGAGACCTTCGTTGTAGCAACGACCGTCTCCACCGTATATCCAGATCACACATCCATTTCGGCCGAAGGAGTTGATGCTGTGATTGTTCCTACGACTTCTGTTGCAAGCCACCAAGCTAGCAACTCAGCCGGTAGCACCCCAAGTTTTGTGTCATCTGGATCGCACTTCATCTCTGTTGGCGACACTACCTCTCAGGCTACAGGCTCAAGCGCAGGCTCAAGCGCGGGCATGGGTGCGGAATCAGATGTGGGCTCTGCTGCATACTCCAGCGCAGTGTCCAATGGCAATTCAGGTGCAGACAGAGACGCAGTCTACACCACTACGATTACTATCGAATCATGCTCCAATGACGGAACTTGTACCGAATATGGCACTACCATCACAATAGCCCAGACCTCCAACGTTGCCCAGCCCACTGTGTCTGCCACCCCGTATTCGTACACCCCATACTCAGGCTCTGAGTCAGGATGGAACCAGACTGCTCCCGCCTCTTCAGCACATGTGTGGCCCCAGAGCAGTCACCAAGCTGGAATGAGTACAGCCATGACTACTAGTACAAGAAGCGCAAGCGCAGTTAGCGCGTTGTATACTGGGGCTGCTTCTGCAGGTTTTCGGAGGCCGTTGCTGCAGGTTGTTGGGACGGTGATGGCGATGCTTTGGATTACTTTCGTATAGTTGTGGGTAAAGGTATAGATTTTATGTTTCCTCGAGAATCTATTGTACTTAGCTCAATATGTTCGAATAGAGACAGTTGACTCAATATTCTACCCCCGTTGGGAAGTATTCCTATTGATGCACCCTCCCGCGGGCATATGTCGCTGCGTTTCTCGAGTAAGAAGTGGTTGATATTCACTTGTCGGATGCAATGAGCTAGCGTGAGACCGGCAACCCCCGGTACTATTATGACCGTGATTTGAGAAGTGCCCATGTGTAATCCAAGTAAATAGTTTGATGAGTACCATAGATTCGGGAGCATACTGGTTTGTTGTGCCTGCAGGTCATAGTCTAACGTGATAGATGTCAGATAAAGTGATGCGTCTATTGGTTAATGAGCCTAAATATCCAGAATATTGGTTGCATGTTGATACTCAACTCACGCGATCCGATCCCCAATCTTCCGTGCCAGATTTCGATGTACGGTAGTCATATAACAAGCCCAATCTACCATTTGAGTGTGAAATAGTCAGAATCAGAACAAACTAGATCAGCAGAGCCGGTTGGGTACCTTGTACTTCTGTTGATCGGAATGATTGTCGCACTCTATATACTAACCTGTAGCAAGATAGAGTGTCGGAGTTTTGTTTTCCCGGGGGCAAATTGCCTCGCTTCATCAAGCCTTTCCTAGCCGTACGCCATGGTACTTACAAGTAGCACTCGAGTTACACCAAAAAAGGTTCAAGAAGGGTAAAGCGGAATTTTCATAGGGCTTACAATGTCTGATGTAGAAGGCAGGATCATATCGCACGCGACGGGTACTCTCGTATTCTCTTTCATGAAAACTGTTGTTACTCGGTGCTACCTGCCAAAATTTCCGTTAGGTCAGAAGGCCTTGGGATACGCGCGTCGTCGGATTTGGAATCTGGCGATATACTGCTGGCCATGGATACGGACGGCTAGCGTGTTTGCTGCCATTCATGATGTGGCGTTCGCCGGTGCCGTATGACGAAAGCTGCATCAAAGCATTGGTTTTGCAATTATGTTGTCACCTGCAAACTGCCACAAATAGTTGATGGAATTATCTTGGGCGCATGTTAAGGCATTTGTTTGTAATCTTTCGCAAAATCTCCAGGATTCCTCGGACAATCCATCTAATCGCACCAGGCGTTTCCTCAACTCTACAAGGGGTGTGCCAATATCCCACAAGATGAAAGCAGTGATATAATGACAATAGTAATGGTCTCTCATTGAATGAATGATAGCGGGACGGCTTCGGTATGGGATGCCTTAATGGTGCGATCTCCACAATTTGGATTAAGATCAAACAGTTACGATATTTAGCCAAAGAAACTCACCCAGATTAATCAATGCCTCTGCGGAGTTTGACACTATAGAATAAATCATTGAGGACGAATATCAAGGTGGGGCAGCAGTCAATCGTTGTATTTGCACCAAATGACTTAGGACATGTAATGCAACCGTCAAAGCGCGGCAACTTTCATGATAAGCACAGGGTAACCAGTCAATGGGCGTCTTTTAGATACCTAGTCTATGCGGAGTTGCCATTTTGTTTGTTAAGGGACAAGGACTTTATTGGGACCTGAGCGAGCTAACAGCCAAGCTACACTCGAGAAATAACATCATTCATATATCTACCCTGTACGTCCCGTTGTTATCATACAATTCCAGTTTCAATACCCAACCATATACCATCTAGTCAGTTATATTATATGGAGCCTTTCTCATCCTTCAATATGGCTATCTCCATGGAGCCCCTTCAGCACCATCTTCCGCAAACCTCGCTGGTTTTTCTTGTCTTCCTGGCCGTCCCAGTAACCGCGCTAGTATGGGATCGCATATTGAACCCACTCCCAACAACAAAACGGGCCTGGCTTGTTGGCAAGAAGCAGCCATCCCGGATCACTTCGTTGGAATGCCCTTACAGCTACATCCGTCAGATCTACGGTAAACATCACTGGGCCCCATTCGTCGACAAGCTGGCGCCCAACCTCAAAATGGATGACCCGCCGAAGTACCAGATGATCCTTGAGATCATGGATGGCATTCACCTCTGCTTAATTCTCGTTGATGATGTAAGTACAGTAGCCCCAATTGAAATGAGGTCTGAGAGCTAATCATCCCATCAGATATCGGACGGGAGTAACTTTCGCAAGGGTCATCCCGCTGCGCACAAGATTTATGGCCCTTCAGAGACTGCGAACCGTGCCTACTACCGCGTGACACAACTTCTAAATCGGACCGTCCACGAATTCCCTCGTCTTGCACCCTTTCTGATGCAGTGTCTGGAGGAGATATTGGAAGGCCAAGATATGTCCCTTGTTTGGCGAAGGGATGGCCTCGCCAGCTTCCCAGTGGCTCCAAAGGAACGGGATGAGGCATATCGCCGAATGGCGTCGCTGAAGACAGGTGCATTGTTTCGCTTGCTTGGTCAGCTGGTACTAGAGAATCAGTCCATGGATGCTACCATGACTACGGTGGCGTATGTGCAAAGATACCCGAATAGTGGGACCTGGCTGACTGATTTCTGCACAGGTGGTGCTCACAGCTGCAAAATGATTGCAAGAATGTGTATTCGACCGATTATGCGAAAGCCAAAGGTGCACTCGCGGAGGACCTACGCAACGGCGAACTTTCATTTCCCATAGTGGTGGCATTGGACGCTCCTGAGGGTCATCTGGTAGCACGTGCCTTGGAATATGGCTCACCCTACAATATCCGTAATGCTTTACGGGTCATCCAGAGGGAGGACGTGCGTAGCGCCTGTTTATGGGATTTGAAAAAATCGAGTGCATCCGTGAAGGACTGGCTGGAAGTATGGGGTCGGAAGGAGAAAATGGATGTCAAAAGTGTGAAGGCTTGACTGGAAATCCAGATAGACGCATATGTTGCCTAGTGGCGGGATTTGTTGCATTACTCCTGATTTGAGACCAACTCGTGCTTTTCCCTATGTGAAATTCCCATCACTACCTCCGATAAGCTTTGCACTGGTGCACAAGCATAAGGCGTGTACAACAATGCGAGGTTGTGCTGTATAGCCATTCTACATGTTGATTGGCAGCGCTTTCAAAACCAGAGTTTAGCTATCCCACTAGCAGGACACAATAACCATTTTCGTGTTCTACCGAGATGAGTAAGATAGCTGAACGGAGTAATTTTATCAAACCAAAGTTTCCTTTCTCCGACCACCCAAGCGACCTGGTCTCGTTTTGAACTTCCAGAACGCCCATTAGCAAACATACTGTTAATCACCCAGGAGGGACATACGGACGTGGAGCAAACTGCCCCTACCTTTCGCAAGACCGATATGGTATCTACCGTTCTTTAGATGACCAGTCATATGAAGAGGTGCCCTTTGGGATCTTTTGCTGACTAGACGTGCTTTCAACACCCTGCAGAAGTTGCTAATTCGCTGATGACAAAGGACCAGTAAAGCCGTGCCGGGTGACAGCAAAACACGTAGCAAAAGGCGATACAACCCTATCACATGGGGCTCACAAGAAACTTGCACTCTTAAATGATGGTACATAGAAGTAGTAATGCCTGTTTCTCGAAAGCTCACATCCAGCACCTTGGTGACCTTCTTCTCCTGCAAGACTTCATCCATACAGCACCTTTGAGCCACAAGGAACGAAAATATGCTGGGATTCCCAATGTTCAACCCAGCTACGCCTGATGCCTGGAAGATGAATACTCCTTACTTTCCATTTGTTTCTTCCGGGTTATTTCCTGCATCGGCACCCTCGTCGCCCACCAACTTAGATGCCGAAGCTGCCAGTTCCCAACAATCGGAAGCAAGCTATCTAGATAAGGAGAAGGTCGGTCTGATGTATCCTGCTCTGAGAAAGCCACTGTCTAATGCACAGAAACAGATTGTCCGAGGGCCACTTGACTATCTTCTGAAATCCCCAGGAAAAGACATTCGTCGGAAGTTTATCCACGCGTTCAATGAATGGCTCCGCATTCCTGAGGACAAGTTGAACATTATCACTGAAATTGTTGGATTGCTTCACACAGCCTCCCTTCTGTATGTTCTATTCATGTTCCACCTAAACCAAGATAACAATATCCTGAGGAACTGCTGACCTTCAATAGAATCGACGATATTCAGGACAATTCTAAGCTTCGACGCGGCCTCCCAGTGGCCCACAGCATATTTGGTATTGCGCAAACAATCAACTCGGCCAACTATGCGTACTTTCTGGCTCAGGAAAGGCTCCGCGAACTGAATCATCCCGAAGCGTACGAAATATACACCGAGGAACTTCTCCGTCTGCACCGCGGTCAAGGTATGGATTTATACTGGCGGGACTGCCTGACCTGTCCCACAGAGGAGGACTATATTGAGATGATCGCGAACAAGACGGGTGGCCTTTTCCGACTGGCGATTAAGCTTATGCAGTTGGAAAGCGAAACGAAAAGGCATGTATTACAAATATATATCCATGACAAATCTTTAGCCCCCCTGGTTACACCGCAAACTGACTTCGTGCAGCAATGTCATCGAACTAGCAGACCTGTTGGGGGTGATCTTTCAGATTCGGGATGATTACCAAAACTTACAGAGTGGACTATACACCAAGAACAAGGGATTTTGCGAGGATTTGACGGAGGGAAAGTTCTCCTTTCTGATTATCCATAGTATCAACAGTAACCCGAACAATCACCATCTGCTGAATATACTACGGCAGCGGAGCGAGGACGATTCGGTGAAGAAGTATGCCGTTGAGTATATCAACTCGACGGGTAGTTTTGACTACTGCCGGGAACGGCTCGCTTCCTTGTTGGAAGAGGCGGATCATATGGTCAAGAAATTGGAGAATGAGGCTGGGCAGTCAAAGGGGATCTACGACATTCTGAGCTTTCTGTCGTGAACATTCCGAGGCGATGAGGCTGAGCATCATGTTCTTCTTAGTTGACCAAGACAATTAAACTACATGAATTTCTATACGCTGGCGTTCATATAAAGGCAGGTGCCCTATCATACATAAGACTTCGAATTTTCAGTTCATAATGGTGTTAGAGCGGGGGATGACCGACAATTTGAAATGGGATTCTGCCATGGCAGCTGTGTCAGCGATGGTATGGGCCGTAGACGCTCGGATCAAAAGGTTCAATGCGAATGTCAAGCAAGCTAGTCGGGACGATTATTTTCAGAGGTGCTGGGACGTGGTTGCTGGGGGTGTTGATGAACGGACCGTGCAGCGTCGCGTTGAGAATCAATTTGGGTATGAATTGAGTAGACACTCCGTATTGGAGAATAGCGGCCCAATAGAGGAACTTAATGTTCGCAAGGCAGATTTTGGGTTTCTTGTTGAGAGTGGTCGTGAGATTTGTTTGTCTTGCGACGAGTAATTGGTTTTTGGTCTCGGTTGCATTGGATCTTACACATGTGGCAGGTTACGGAATAGCGTAGGAGAAAAGGGGCGCAGTGCCCAAAAATATGGAGACACAGCAGACCACACATGGGCTTACATATGCTTAACTCACTGCACTTCATACCCAATTGTCAGTGAGGTGGGTCCTTCGGGTGGTTTTTAAACTATGTTGATGCATGCTGATTCTGCATGCAGATGCCGGGTTGGTATCTAGCCCACTAGGTCTCCCGTCCTCTAGGGCGTTTATTGATGTCGATAAGTTACCGCATGGACTATCCATATTCATAAATAATTTTATCCCATGTGGTTCAACACCTGCATGGAGCGTTGGAACAGAGATTTGTCCCGGTGAAGCGTACTCTCATATATTCCGGCTTTCTCTTCGAAATACTCGAACTCCGTCGGGAAATACTCCGAGAATTGTGCAATATTATGCTACACGGTGTCTATACTTAAATTTCCTATCTTCATAAAGATTCAGCAACATAGCAGAGTTTTGAGAGTCTTTAATGCCCACTTAGATGTTGTCAGCTCCTCGGATGGGGAACCATCAGCATTACGCTGGAATGCGTAGCGCAGCACTGCGCCGATCTTGGTGGCTTGCATCGCCATGGTACGAATCTCGTGCTGACGTTTATCATCAAAAACACGACAATGAGCCCAGAATTCATCCCAAAAATAACTGATCATGCGTTCACGGCACGTATAATTGTGCCAGCCGCTGAGATCCATGTAACCCGTGGATAGCAGGAGAGTGTCCAGCTCCATGCCAAACGGCAGTACTTTAGCTAATGACCAATCGACAATACCGGTGATCTCAAAGTTGCCCTCGCTAATCAAAATGTTCGTTTGGGAGAGATCGTTGTGTGTCAGGACCTGCACATATTCTTGATTGAACAGATCTGGAAGACTGCATTCAAGTTCCGAAATTGTAGTGGAGGAAAGTATGACAGGTGCAGAGTTCCTTATTTTCTCAAGCTGGTGATAGATTGCGTCTCGATAGTTTGCCGACACCGTAGGATCTACCGGTTGTGGATTTAACCAACACCGAGCGAAGTATCTAGAGAGCATTACTATTTATGGTCGCTTTATTTTATCCACTTCCGCAAATGGCGGCATGCTATCAACGTAGGGAATGGAATAAGAGACGAGCTACCTGGCAAGATGTTTGACAAAGCACATGTATCTGGCTTCCTCTCTGGGGCTCAACTCAGTTTCGGTGCTGAATAACTGTAGGCAAGGACTGCCTGATAAACAGGCCATCGTATATACGAGTAGAGGTGGATCTGAATCTGGCATGTTGCCGTAAAAAGTAGCTTCTGGTACTAGATCACCGTGGATGAATCTTGCCAGCTCAATGACTGTTTGGTCCAAGACAGACTCTGGTTGTCGGAAAGACACGATCAAACCTGGTCGCTCATCTGAGCTACCTGTGCAAAGAACTGTGTAGCTCAGTGAGCCCGGAATGTCGACTTCTCGAACAGTGGAAGCACCTGTGATCCTACGAGCGTGGTCGTCGCAGTCTAACTGGGTCGGGAATTCACGAATTTCGAAGAACCTATCGACCATTTGTTGAGCCCAAGACCGCTCCTCCATCATCGTATTAGAAGCCAAGTTGTCTGAACTTGGATTGAGGAACTGTACAAGGGAGACAGAATGAGGGAATAGCTAGGTGCAGGATTCTCTGGTGCAACAATGTGAAAACTCATCATCTGCGCGATCGGGCCCTTTATTGACAGAGGGGCTTCCATTAATCACGTGGGTGCCGCATGTCAGAATACATCACAACATGAGAAAGCAATTTGCTTTCTGTGGTAAATTGGTAGTGATTTTGAAGGCTACGATACATTAGTCGGGCAAAACATTGTGCTGAATCATAGACTGCACCGCGTCCCTCACGCTCTCCTCTAAGCCGATGTATTTCCACTGACTACCCTTTCCCTTCGAGAGTATATCCAAGCTAATCCGCGTATCACAACCGGTAGGGTGTATTCCCTCGGGCAGCACCTTATCCGGTGGACCGGCTGGAACCTTTTCGCGCAGTTGAGGGAAATGCTTTCGGATGGTATTCACGACTAATTGTGGCGTAATGAGCCCTGAGACAAGCACGATACGTTGCCCTCCAGCAGCGGGATTGGTAAGTGCATCTACATGGCTCCTCGCCACGTCGCGCACGTCGACAAAATGATAGTATGGAAACTGCACATCCTCAATTCTGGCATGAGTCCCGTCGATGAAACTAGCAATTGCAAAATAATTACTTTCGTTGATCGACTCCTTCCCAGAAATTGGGTGGATTATGGGTCCGGTGACGATAAGAGGGTTGATGACAGTGAGGTCGAAATTGGGACTATTTGCCTGCATGAAATCCCAGGCTTTACGCTCGGCTTGGATTTTGGAGACATTGTAACCCAACACAGGGTCGTTACGGTCGATGGCTTGTTGTGCAGTTACCTAGAGTTTCATAAGCAGGGGAATTGCCGATTTCAATTTGAGACGAACTGGATTCCAGCTTTTCTCAGTATATGGGTGGCCTTCTCGACTCATGTCTTCGAAGGAATCGAGTACGGAGACACCGCTGCCCAAAAGGACAATGCGTTTGAGCGTGCTTCCACCGTGTTGGTGAGCGCTTTCCAGGATTTGCGTCGTTCTGCAAGTGCAAATCAGCGGCTACATCATGGTTGCGCACACAGTTCATACTCACCCCTTAACTGCGGGATCTATCAAATCCCTATGAAAATCCTTAAAATCAAACTTGAATGGCGATGCCGCATGGATAACATAATCAAAGAGAGCTTCGGTCTCCTCAAACAAGGTGCTGAATGGTTTTGGTGAGGTGAAATCCGACACGATCACAAAATCAACCTTCCCTTTTGATTCAGGATGAGCGTTAATCACATCGTCTGCTTTGGCCTGAGATCGCACTGTTGCGGTTACCGTGTAGCCACGCTGAGGTTGTCAGCTACTACACGTTGCTTGCGATTTGGACTCACTCACCTCCAGGAGTATGGAGAGGATATGGGATGCTACAAACCCATCTGCCCCAGTCAAAAGGACGTGCTGGCTGCGAGTTGAAGATACCATGATGGCTAGTACTTTAGAGAGATTTATGTCCGATCATACTGGTACTTATACTAGCCCATGGATATCAGCCAGAATAGATCCTGACTGCTACTCACCCTCAAATGTCTCTATGGCTTTTTATAAGTCTCATGATTATGTCATGTTACTTTGGGTTTGGGAGATGCACCATGGAAGGAGCGCCCGATGTGTTAAAGTCAAACATGATCAGGTTTCGGGCAAGAAATTTATTGGTGAACTATCTCGATCTATCTTGTCTGACAAAAGAAAAAGTACCCTCAACCAGTTTTTCATATTCCACGTCTCGTTTGTCAGGTGTTAATTCGAGTAGTGCCCGCAGATGGCCGAAAGTTGTCCCATCTTCGTAGATAATGGCTGCCAGGGAAGCATTTCGGTGCACCATCTTTCTGGTCCAATATTACGCTTTCGGCTATCCGATATCATACGATAACAGACACGATTCCCACGCCCGCAGTCGCGAGCTATCTCTTCCCGTAGTTGGCTCTTTTGTTCCCGCTCCGCACAATGGCGGGTGATGTGCGGGAAGGTCACCGTTCCATCTTCATAGAAGTTGCCTAGGCTTCATGCGGTTCTCTTTCATGAGATCCCTGGTCGTAGCCTCACTACTCTCTTTTTAAGTATAGGTCACAATGTCACTCAGCCGAAGTTATATAAGATATTCAGTTCAACGTACGACACTAGGCGGTCTATATCATTATAAGTATGGCTAACAGTGGGAAGTGATGATTTAATATCCAGGAAGCCAACCGTACATCAAAGGATACCCACACCGGCGCCAAAGACCTGCATAATAGTACAGGTCGAATGACGTGCCCCGTCTTGCATATTAGAGTAAATGGGGATCTCAATCACCCCTAGCCAGTGGCTTCCAGTGGAGACAAGTCCTTGTCCAATTGAGCCAGAAGAGTTCAACCGGAGGAGGGACTGGACTTTAAAAACTTCTCATCGCATCCGGCTAAATTTCATTGGAATAGATGAATGAACCTGGGCGCAAACTACGACTGCAGACAATACACAGCAACTCGAAGGAAGGCTACAGTGAGGACCCATTGTACCTATCTCGGCAGTTGTCGGCACCTGAATTGCCGCTGTTACATGCACTAAATGCTGCAGGATGCTAAGCGAGGACATCATGAACGACTAGTCCAATGTCCAGCCAATGCCAAGATGGTTATTAGTAAAGGCAAAGAGGCTAGCCAGACCGCTCCGTCCATCCAATTGCGTGCCACAAAAACCTTAGATCATAGATGGCTGTTATGGTTATGGGGCGGGGTATCTGAGACATGTCCTTCATTTCGTGTGATGCTTGTGCTTCACATCGGCGCATCAGGGTCTAGACTAACAAAGTTAAGTACTAATCCTACGGCCCCACCGGTGGGGTACACGGCAAAAACTACTCCACAGGGATTATACTAAGGAGAGCTACACTGGAGGTGCATGCTTCAGACCTACTGTGGGTGCGCACACTTAAAAAGAACGATTGTATTGGATACATGTGAAAGGAGTACAGAAGAACATTGTCGGAGGAACGGCAGACAATTCCCTTCGGGCAAAACAGAGCGTCCCTAGCTCGGAAGGCTATATCTTCCCGGCAATTCGATCAGAGTGGTTGCCGAATCTAGAGAGCATTTGCGATAGCAGTGTATGCAGGCTTCGGGTTATAGTTGCTGTCAAACAGCAGAGGAGTGGAGCTGGAGCGCCAGGAGTCCTGAATGAAATTAGCTCAAGTCATAAGGCTAGTTTTATTATCCGGATTGCAGGGGTATTTACCGGGTCAGCAACTCCCCACACGGTGATACCGATACACTTGGGCTGGTCGAGGCAGGCTTCGACGACCTGTGGATGCAGAAATCAGTATCAGTTATTCACACCATGTACTTGGCTTGGCGTGACCTACCTCCACGTAGTCGGTTGAGCTGGCGCCAGCGATGTCGAGCTCGGTGACCGCAATCTCCTTGGTGCCCGCACCTGCGAGAGCATTAAGAGCTGTAAGGGGCTGTCAGCTACCGTCAGGTTGAATAACGGGGAGGGGGTACTTATCCAGAAATTCCAGCACCTCCACCAGCGCTCAAGTGGGTTTGGGAGCCTTTGAAGTTGGTGAGTAATTATAGCCGGATATCATTAACCAGGGGGCCTTACCGATTCCATCGATGGGAATACCGGCTTCGATCCACTTCTTGACATGGCTGACCATGCCAGTCAATTTAGGATAGGAAGCGGAGTCCAGGCTTTGCGGAAATTAGCGTCCACTTTGCAATGGTAATTAGACAGTCAGGGCTTACTTGTAATCGTTGATGTAGAGCTTTGCGTTGGGATCCGCAGCCCGAGCAGTCTCGAAGGCAATCCGGACGTAGTCCTCGCCGATGACTTTGTAGAACACGCTGTCGCGGAGGGAGCCGTCTTCGTTGAAGATTTCGTTCACAACGTCCTTGTAATAATTAGTGATGAGACTTGGCAAAATTGATGGTTTTCAGTTTACCCAGGCGTAGATCTTGCCCTTATAGTGTTGCATCACCGTGGTGATGTGATTTTTCATGACCTCGATGAGGGTATTCTTGTCCGTGATGGCTTGAACCCAAGAGGGGAGCTGAGAGTGCCACACTGGTTGAGTTAGCTTCACTGTCTTGTTATAGTTTTCAGTTCAGTCAGTCAAAAACTTACCCAGCGTATGTCCACGGATCAACTTGTTGTTAGACTGGGCAAAGTTGACCTAGGTCTTGTAAGCGTCGCGTACAGTTATCGTAAAGGGTTGGGAAATTCTATACGTACCAGGTAATCCGATCCCGAGAAAGAGAACTGTCCACGGCTGGCTATAATTCTGATTAGGTCTGAATAACAACGATGACGATGGTGTACTTACGCTCAGTTGCATCCCACTTCATGCTATTCTCTGGGGTCAACGCGCCAAAATCGGCCTTGATAATTGCCGGAGTCTTCGAGTTCTTGGTCAAGGTATACTGATCCCCGATGTTTCCCAGGTACTTCTTTCCGTGAGCCTTGAACTTGGTGTCGATGCTCACTGAAGCCTGACGGGGTTCAATAGGTTCAGAAAGCACATGGCTAGCGAAAAGCATCGCCAGTGCAGCTGCCTTGATTTGAACCATGTTGGACAAATACGATTGTTTTTCTTAAAAGAGCCAAATGAGAATGATGTTGGATTGACAGATTAGAAGGTAAATTCTACAAGGGAGAAGAGAGATTAAAGTATTTATATCCCACGAGACTCAACGTTTCTGGGCAGAGAGGATGTGAAACTGGAACACAACCAACCGTGGAACAAAATATCCCGCTCGAGACATGTCTAGACAGTAAAGGATTGACTTCATCTGCCTCATCTAGCTGTCTACCGAATTTCCCAAACCGGGAGGATGGCACTCGATGGAACCATAATCAGCCTGAAGGGATGAATAATGGCGTTTAGGCAGGCTATCCGGAGCTCTTGACATGTTTGGTTAGAACAGGCTATGTACTTAGCCGACACATCGAGAAGCCACCGTACGTTATTGTTGTAATTTGGAAGGCGCCGATCTACCCACCAGGAACACAAGAAGGAATTGCAGGAGTGGGGACACTTGTTGCACGGTCGTCCGATTAACCTGCTAATGTCCGTCCATCAGGGTCCAGCGTCTGCCTCGGCTCCAAAAATAGTTTAGCCCTGCAGAGATGGCAGTCGGCCACAGCCGATCACCCGATCCATACTGGATGCTGTAACTTGGAGATAGCCTGCAGATGCTCTGATGAAGGTCTGCAAATAGTTCCTGGACCTTGATAGTGAAGTATACCGATTCGTCAATGTTGTATATCCAGCCACTTTGAAAGTACCAACTTTTAGTTCGATTGATCAGAATACTTTTGGTGTGTACATTGACAGCCAAATTATCATCTCTTCTACCGATAGGTGTCACCTACCCGCCGAAAGTACCGGAAGGTTGTGGTGTTTTAAGGTGAAACACTATCAGGGCGGCAATGTGTCAAAGTAGAACCAGTTTGCTTAGCGCCATTAGGATCCACGCCTAGACCCTTGATGCCCGGGAGTCATCCGTCCTGTCACAGCAATTATTTCCCCGAGTCTACTGCCGAAGAACAGCCATTGTGGCGTAATCACGGAATTACCCACTGTGTAGGGTAGTCTTGAAGGCCGTTCTAGACACGGCAACGCTCCGGTGGACGATCGTTTCTGGCTAATGTACTCCGTAGTTTAGGCAGCATGCTGATCATCTTCCCCCTAGGGAAAGGCCCTGAATAGTGCGCCAAAATGAGCTTGAGCAAAGGAATGTTCTTTCTAAGCCAATGTGGGCGAAATAACCACGCAGCCCACTTTTATCCGAAACGTTTCTGGTGTCATCCAATATGGATAAATCCCGATTGTTCTTCTGCACATATCTCTATTGTTATAAGCGCAACTACATATATTTGAACATGGTTTGGTCCTCTTTTCAAGTTATTCGTTCTCCGTGACCAACGATTTCAGCCATTGATTCTTTTGTTTCTTTCCCCGCGGATAAACTCATACGAAGATGAAGTTCTTCAATGCCAAAGGCAGCTTGCTGTCATCAGGAATCTACCTCATTGCATTAACCCCCTTTGTTAACGCCAAATGCTCTCTTCCATCGTCCTATAGTTGGAGTTCAACCGATGCTCTCGCAACTCCTAAGTCAGGATGGACCGCACTGAAGGACTTTACTGATGTTGTCTCGGACGGCAAACATATCGTTTATGCGTCCACTACTGATGAAGCGGGAAACTATGGCTCGATGACCTTTGGCGCCTTCTCAGAGTGGTCGAACATGGCATCTGCTAGCCAGACAGCCACCCCCTTCAATGCCGTGGCTCCTACCCTGTTCTACTTCAAGCCGAAAAGCATCTGGGTTCTGGCCTACCAATGGGGCTCCAGCACATTCACCTACCGCACCTCCCAAGATCCCACCAATGTCAACGGCTGGTCGTCGGAGCAGGCGCTTTTCACCGGAAAACTCAGCGACTCAAGCACCGGTGCCATTGACCAGACGGTGATTGGCGACGATACGAATATGTATCTCTTCTTTGCCGGCGACAACGGCAAGATCTACCGATCCAGCATGTCCATCAATGAATTTCCCGGAAGCTTCGGCAGCCAGTACGAGGAAATTCTGAGTGGTGCCACCAACGACCTATTCGAGGCGGTCCAAGTGTACACGGTTGACGGCGGCGAGGGCAACAGCAAGTACCTCATGATCGTCGAGGCGATCGGGTCCACTGGACATCGTTATTTCCGCTCCTTCACGGCCAGCAGTCTCGGTGGAGAGTGGACAGCCCAGGCGGCAAGTGAGGATAAACCCTTCGCAGGCAAAGCCAACAGTGGCGCCACCTGGACCGAAGACATTAGCCATGGTGACTTGGTTCGCAACAACCCTGATCAAACCATGACTGTCGATCCTTGCAACCTCCAGTTGCTCTATCAGGGCCATGACCCCAACAGCAGTGGCGACTACAACCTCTTGCCATGGAAGCCGGGCGTCCTTACCTTGAAGCAGTGACAAGCTTATCATTAGTTGCAGATCGTGTTTCTCCTTTCTTCTTCAAGTAGTTTTAGTGGTGGAAGACAGCAGAAGGTGGTCATCATCTTAGTTTGTCCATAGGCTAGTAATTTGCGCAGAATTCAGTTCATTGGCAAGGAGTGCGGTACGAATACCTGTTTTCACAATAGCAATTAGGCCCAGTAGTTATACTACGTACTGGAATTGAGTACTCGTAGTAGCAAGATTGTGTGCCTCAGAGGGAATGGCCGACACGTGAGCAAGTCACCTTCATCAGCTAGTCGCGTTCCACATAGACAATGGTCAGCTCAGAGTGGAATGTGGGCTACTTTGAACGATGGCCTATTAAATCGCGCGTCTCCTCAATTGTATTTAACCACAATAGGGCAGGTATTGGCATTCACTCTCCGCGCTTTGCGGGTGCCGGCACGAGATGTCTCCTGGACCAAACTAGGCAACGAGCAGACTACGGATATGGGAGATGGTTGACGATGTGCTTCTTGGTAAATTTGAAGCCTCCAGGGCCTCTAAAAAGGCGGAAATCTAAATCTCAAGTACCCTAACGTGTCCGACCACGGTGTTGATCATCATCCATTGAATCGGACAAGAGTCTTGGTTCGGAAACTGAACAGGCGGCTCTTGAATGACAGTCTGGATCCTGATCCAAATTTATAATGTGTATCCTTGAACATGCAAGGGATGCGTGGGCACTTTCCATGGTCACACTCCGCTCCCCTGGCTATACATTTGTCGGCAAAGGGGTGCCTGTGGAGTCTGTACAAAACGCGAGACACAAGAAGCTTGTATATTCACATCTCGCCCCAATCCAAGGGGCGTCGGTACCCTTTTTTTCCGACAGCCCGAGACTTCGCCGACAGTATTCTCACAATGTTATTACTGAGATCGCCCACCCGGTGTGCATTGGCTACGCCGGAAAGGCCCTCGTCCGACCGCATGGCATGAATTTTGACGAGATGCCTCAACAAACGGCCAATTCGCTGCAAGCTGTTCATGGGTTGGATGTGCTGCATAGTGACCCGATTCCTGGAAACATATTCTGGGACGGAGGGAATGGCCGCGTCAAAGTCTTTGACTTTGAGCGTGCAATAATCCAGAATAACGATGCCTGCCACTAAGCGTCATATGGCCTAATAAAGATTGCAAGTCACACTCCCAGTGCGTGGCCCTTATCTGGAGACCGAGTATGGACTGTTTGGGCCAAAAGCAAGACGCATAATCAATGAATTTAGACGAGTGCGTCTGTGAACATCATCAGCTGCTACTGCAATTATGAGACTGCAGGAGAACACTACGCTTAATTGTAACGACGCTACGACCAACCTTGACAACAGAATTCCCATACCCCCATCCCTTTGGCATTTGACGTACTCTTATTTTCCTTCCTCTTCTCTCGATTTTAAGTTACATGTACCCTCTCCAAATGGCGATGTAATGACTGGCAATCCAATTTGGAGTCATTATTAGGATTCCATGATGCATCACGTCCTTTGCCTGGGTTTCAGTGGGATTCTGTCACGAGTCACAAGCCTGTTTCTACGCCTAATCACGAGTCTAATTGCACTGATAGTCAATGTCTGAATGATACATATCATGATGTTACTCGGATCGGGTGGCGGTACCGGTATACATTCTTGACTAGACCAACTGCAGCAGTAATCCTTAGGTAGTCGCAAATTCAACTAGAGATTACCAGCGGAATGTTGCAAGCGCACAAGTGGTCGGATATATTGATACCTATTCCAAGATAGCCAATGCTAAAGTGCGAGTCTGCTCCTAAGATGAATCTAGCCTGTACATCCATCAACTAATACCCCCGACAGTCCACTATACAAAAACTGCACATGGTAAACAATCAAAGCAGCGGAGGGAAGAACAGATAACCCCCAAACCAGAACTCCGACCATGCAATTGTTACCCGAAACATCGCTAACAAAAACCGACAGCCACCCAGACCGCTCAAACAGCCTCCCAATCCATAGCATCGACAATGAAATCCCAATCAGCATCCGACTCTCCCTGCAACAATCCATCCATCTTATCCGCCCCATCAGACGCAACCACATGCTCCTGCGCAAGCAAATACGCATCATCAAAGCCCTGGAAGATATCCGAGAGGATCTTCTCGATATCATAGCTCGCCAACGGCATAGCCTTGCCCTTCCGCCTCGCAGCCCACTTATCCTCCATCTCCAGCTCTTCCTTGGTCAAATCCGCCGTCTTCCACCGGTTCCGCAACTCTTTCGCCCTCTGCAATTGTTCGTGAACCTCGCCCTGTCCCAGCACAGTGTGCAATGGACTATTCTCATCCTGCAACGCTTCCAACACATTCGCATGGTATCGGTGGGTCGAAAGCGGAGCGGAGCCGTACGCGGCGAGGTGATTGCGCGCAAAAGCAGAAGACACAGAGACACCGAAGACGCTGAGGAGGTGGACAATTGCGCGCTCGAGGAGGGAGTAGTATTCGTGGAAATCGAGCTTGAACATGATCTCGGCGTGGGAGACGTCGAAGTCGCTACTGGCAGGGTCGAGGGTCGCGAGGCGGTAGCCGTAGGCCAAATATGGGAGTTTCCATTTTAATCGCTCCACGATTTTCATGAAGCGGGAAAGGTGGCTCGAGGGGGAGGGTCGTGGGGAGGATTGACGAGAGGGTTGCT